CTTAAGGGGATATTTCTACAAGTCACCTTCCCTAAGGTGCATTGTTATGGTATCATGGCAACTCAACTCCTCGCTACGTTGACAACCGTTCACCACCTTCTTAGGTGTGGAATTATTGCCTACCTAGTGACCCTTCATCATCTGTTCCACTCCATCCCTCTAGATGTGTGCTTCATGTCTCAGCTCGAGAGATGTTGCTATGACTCACTCTGTGAGTTGATCCTAAGTTGATTGATCTTTGAGAAGATCGATTCTTATGGAATTGTCCCTTTCCTCTTGTTGTCATGTTAGATGGAGATCTCAGAGCAAGACGTCGAGACAAAGATGGTGATCGAATCAACGTTCTCATGAAGTGCACCTTGGATCGTGAAGATTGTGTTAGTTTGCGTCCCCCCATCATCTTACCCTACGCTTGAATCTCGAGACGAGATTCTTGTTTAGTGGGGGTGAGTTGTCACATCCCTGGTCCTGTTATGCACTAGGCTAGACCTTCGTGTGAGCATCATGTTTTAATTCAAATGAAATTTGAATTGAGAAATTTTCAAAAGCCTCAGAAGACCTCTAAAAATAACCAACATTTAAATCTCATCAAATGAGTCCAAGAAAATGTTCCTCTTAGTCTCTGAAAATATTGGAAAGAGGTAAAACTCGAAACAATATTTTTGGAATCTCAGAGATATTTATTTTGGGCCTTTGAATTAAATAAATAACTATTTGCATTGGATATATATTTTTATATAATTAATATATGTCCAATAATTCTGAAACATTTTATGTGGTTTGGTATATTTTAGTTCTAGCCACATAATTGTTTTCAGCATTTTATCAGATGGGTTAGTGTTTTTACTAAATCAAAACAAAACAGAACAAAATAGAAAACAGAAACAAAAATTAAAATAGAGACAGAGTGTTACCTGTCGCTTACCAGCAGCCCACTTACCTCGGCCCAGCACCGTAGTCGGCTGGCCCAGCCCACCAGCGCCTCCCTATCGTCTTCCTCCTCGGGACAGTAGGACAGGGGCGTGTGCCCACTGTGCGCACGCACGCGCAGCGCCACCTCCTCCCTCCATGCCTGCCTGCCCCCTTCCACGACGCTGCTGTGGACGCCACGACACCTCCTGGACCCAGTGGTCAGTCTCTGTTCCTGCCCTGTGTCACTGACGTGTGGACCCAACATGTCAGGTTTGACCTGGTCAACCACAGTTGACCTGCTGACGTCACAGTGAGGTAGTGCTGACGCCATAACTCATTTTCTGGATTAATTTTAATTCAGAAAATTCCAGAAAATATCCAAAACTTCAAAAATTCACAGAAATTAATCGGTAACTCCAAATCAAACAAATTATATATGAAAAATGATCAGAAAAATCCAATCTATCCATCTGTATCATTTTCATGCATGTTAGAACAACTTATGGCTACTGTTTAGGACAAATCAAATGAATAGCATTTAGATAACCACATGTGGAGTTTGAATTTGAACCTTGGATTCAAACCAACTTCATTTAATCTGTTTGCTAGTTGCATTAGCCCAAATCACAGCATATTGCCATATCATGATCATGCATCATATTGTCGCATTGCATTGATTGTGTTTCTTCTTTGTTTGTCGGTGTTTATCCCCTCTCAGTAGACGTGTTCCGACGTTGTGATCGTTGACACTGATGAAGACTCAATGCTATCTTCAGAAGTGTCAGGCAAGCAAAACCCCCTTGTTCATTCTGATACAATTCCACTCTCTCACTCCTGCTCTCTTTTAATGCATTAGGACAACACCGATTCATCTGTTACTTGTTGCGGTAGCTGAACCCCTTTATCCTCTGCATGACCTGTCATTGCCACAGTAAATAGATGAAACCCACTAGCATGAGTAGGAGTTGTTTGAGCCCTGATGTGCCTACTCATTCATGCTTGTTTGTCATGCCTGCTATTGCTTAGAGTTGAGTCAGGTCTGATTCATCGGGGATGAATCGGAGGTGTGTAAACATGTCCTACTGTGTGTGAGCTAAGTGTGTGAACACGATTTGGTAAAGGTAGCGGTGAGAGGCCATGTAGGAGTACATGGTGGGTTGTCTCATTGCAGCCGTCCTCAGGAACTGAGTTCTGTATTTGTGATCCATGAACAGCTACTACCACACATTGGGATCCTTAATTGACTCTCTCGACTTATTAATCAACATGATCTCTGTCTAGGAGTTGCAACTAGTTTCTGGTGTTTGTAGGTAGTGTTAGTAGTCTACCAAGTGGCACTTGGTACAGGTGGGCTTGGGACAGACTAGGCACAGTGGCACGCTGTACCAAGTGGCACCCGGATGATGGGCTTGGGAACCCTGCTCACATCGTTTGGGGCCGTGAGCGACACCCCGGCCGGATCTTCTTGCGGATGGAACCCGAATAGGCGATAAACCTGGATGAGAGACTTGTGTGGTTAGTCAGGTCGTGGCCGACACCCTCGCTGGGCTTCCGCTTGAAGGTTGCCGAGTACATGTCGTGTAAACGGCGGTAAGTGGTGAGAGCGTGTGTGAAGAAGTACACTCCTGCAGGGTTAATATGATCTATTCGAATAGCCGTGTCCGCGGTAAAGGACTTCTGGGTTGCCTGTACAGTTCATAGACAAGTGAAAGTGGATACTCTAAAATACGCAAGATAAGCGTGAGTGCTATGGATGGCGTTCTCGTAGGGAGATGGGAGCGGATCCATAGTGGTGTATTGATATGGTGAATATGTGGACTCGTGTGCGCCACCTCAAAAGAGTTATTTGCAGTCGTAGTTCAGGATAGCCACCGAGTCAAAGCTGGCTTGCTGCAGTTAAACCCCACCACCCCCTTTGTTGATAATGATGCATATGTAGCTAGTTCTGATGTAAGTCTTGTTGGGTACATTTGTACTCACGTTTGCCTATTTTATATTTTTGCAGAGACTTCCGTCTCACTAGTAGTTCCGCATGGACTTCGACGTTTAGCTTGTTACCTCAGCTACGATCTTGTGCCCTCGGCAAGATCTGGTAGATAGACAGGCTTCTCAGCCCTTTTCATTTGTAGATGTCTGTACTCAGGCATGTTAAGCTTCCGCATGTGCTTGTTGTTTGTATGCTCTGAATGCTGGGTCGAGTGACCCATGTTTGTAATATCTCGCTCCTCGGAGCCTATTGAATAAATACTTGAGTTGTAGAGTCATGTTGTGATGCCATGTTGTATTTGCATATATCGAGCATATTGTGTGTATGTTATTGAAATGCTTGATATGTGTGGGATCTGACTATCTAGTTGTTTATCCTTAGTAGCCTCTCTTACCGGGAAATGTCTCCTAGTGTTTCCACTGAGCCATGGTAGCTTGCTACTGCTCCAGAACACTTAGGCTGGCCAGCATGTGTCCTTCTTCGTTCCTGTGTTTGTCCCCTCGGGGAAATGTCACGCGATGAATTCCGGAGTCCTGTTAGCCCGCTACAGCCCGGTTCACCGGAGTCCTGCTAGCCCAGTGGTACAGCCTCGATTCACTCGCTGATGACCGACACGTTCGTTGCTGGGCCATGTATGGCTGTCCCTGTAAGTTAGTGCCACTTTGGGTTCACGACTAGCCATGTCAGCCCGGGTTCTTTGTCATATGGATGCTAGCGGCACTATCATATACGTGAGCCAAAAGGCGCAAACGGTCCCGGGCCAGGTAAGGTGGCACCCGTGGGAATACCGTACGTGAGGCCGCAAAGTGATATGATATGTTACATGCTAGATCAGTGTGACTCAGGATCGGGGTCCTGACAATTATCTCAACATTTTTGTGTTCTCTACTACTTTCTCCGTTCCTAAATATTTGTCTTTTTAGAGATTTCAAATGGACTACCACATACAGATGTATATAGACATATTTTAGAGTGTAGATTCACTCATTTTGCTTCGTATGTAGTCACTTGTTGAAATCTCTAAAAAGACAAATACTTCTTCCATCTCAAAATAAGTGTCTTGAGCTTAGTACAAATTTGTATTAGAGCTAGTATAAAGTTGAGACACTTATTTTGAGACGGAGAGAGTATTTAGGAACGGAGGGAGTATATGTGTTCCTATCATGTACCTTCCAGAAGTCTATTCTCTACCACGCCTGTGGGTCTCTCCGGTCATGACGCTACAACCAATTGCCTAATTGCAACGCGCATTTGGCATTGCATGAACTGATGGCATCTTTTCAGCATCATGTGCTGTTGAAACACATTAATCAACATGCCAGTCTTTGGCTGTAAACTCAAAAACAAGTGTAGAACAGAGAATGCAGACAAGCGAAGAGGTACAGATGATAAAAGCGACTTGACCATGGGAAAACCAGATCTCAAGCAAAATGATTACAGAGCAAAGAGATGTGGCTTACAAGTTGTAGTTAATCAAAGCAAACATCCATGTGACCTCAGTGCTCTGGATACTGTGATAGATCGAGGTATCCAAGAATGAAAGGATAAACCACATGATCACACAGTAAGCATACTACACTGATGCAGCATAGAGCCTGCAGACACGTGAATAGAATTGAAGATCTGATCAGACTACTAAGCACGCACAAGAAGAATTATAACATGGCACTTGTGCATAATATATACTCCCTCCATCTAGAAATACTTGTCGGAGGAACGGATGTATCTAGATGCATTTTAGTTCTACATACATTCATTTCTATCCATTTTTACGACAAGTAATTCTGGACGGAGGGAGTATATGAGAAGAACACAAAGATCAGGGAGAATTGTCTGCCCAAGGGTATCACACAAATAAAGAATTCAGCTATATTCAGAAGCTGGACACGGACAAGCAAACTGACTTGACAAAGGGAATACAAGCGAGCAGTCTCACCCAGCAAACCATAATACCACACTCTTAAAGACATGTTGCGGCTTGACAACCGGAAAGACAAGTGCTAATGATATATCAACAACGGCGAAAGAAAACAAGCACCACACACTCAATACTTCATATTCAGCAAACAAAAGGTTTGAATCTGAAGTCGGTCCGTCGGTTCTAGACTTCTTGGGCTATGGTGTTGCCAGCATCTATTGCCATCTCAGCATCCCCCTACAGGCATAAATGTTTCACTTAATTAAGCAAGAACGAAACAGTAACCTGGTACAGATGTAGTGTACTCTCAGTTGCTAGAAGACTGTCGAAATTCTTACCATGTTCTCCTTATCTTCATATGTGATCTCCTTCACCGCATCAACTGAAATATAGTTTTGCCATTAGCAAAGCCTATAGTAAAGTGCAGAAAGAGGTGATATTTACGTTAGGAACTCAGGAAAGCTATGGCGCTTACCAGATTCTTGATCTGCATCAACCAGCGAAACATCACTACCTCCATTGCAATCCTCTTGCTGCTCCTTAGCCTGCTTCTTGGTTTTCTTTATGGTATTTTTGGCAGCTTCTTTTGCAGGAGCATTTTTGGCTGGATTCCGGTTATAGGAACCTCTGATCTTGGCATCAGGCTTCTCCTTCTGACTGTTCTCTTTTTTGCCATCTTTACTCTGAGTTGCAACAGAGTTCAGAGACCTGGGTTTCAGATTACCCTTTGGAGTCACATTGGCAGCACTAAGAGCAACCTTGTCAGACTTTTTTGGCTCCTGCGAGGAGTCCAGAGAGATCTTTAGCTTCTCAAAATCTTCCACGATATCATAAACCTGAAGAACCTCCTTCACCGGCTCCTCCAATTCTGTTGCAAGGCCATGCCGGGCCACATAAGTCTTGAGTTCTTCTCTCATCCTATCCAGAGGCTGTGGAAAACACAATAATATGATCAGTGATTCAATGAAAGAAACTGAACAGTCTGCACTAATCACAGATGATCAATTGATATTTACCTCGCATTCTGACTCAAGGGCAAGCTTGAAGAAGCCCAGAGAGATAGAGTGCTTCGAAGCAGCCTCTGCAAGCCTAATCTGTGTCATCCAATATGAGACCGAGGAGAGTGTACTGAACTTGCGCCTTGCTGTAGACATGGATGCTTCAGATGTTGGGGTATCCAACCTCCCAAGGCTGTCTGCCCTCCTCGAGCGAACCCCTGACACTGGAGTAATAGTTCCAGTAGGAGTAGGCCTTGGACTAACACCTGGCTTTGTTGGTATTGAGTGCCTCCGGGGAGGTTTGGCTGATTTATCCTTCACGGCAGAAAGATCGAGAGCACAGCTCTTGGTGACATATGAAGATGGTTTGGCCCTATATATGGAGTGCAATTAGAAGTGATTTCAAAATAACAAAGTTATTTGGCAGCAATTTCAAAGTTGGAACCCAGGAGGCCTCAGAGTAAGCTGGTAGTCAATTTTACACTGACATAGCACCAAACAGGTATGCTTAGTTTTAACGCAATAATGTGGGCATCAGCATTTGCATGGTGGCCTATTGTTTTCCCAGAGACTTGCTGAATTGTTTATATTATAACTCAGGCCTATGATGGCTAAGCTTCTAGAAAAAAACTAGGAACATCTGTATGCACACGGGCCTCCATTAATTCCCTTTCTGGGCTTTCCTGTTCCTAATTTCACAGGACTAGAGATGATTCCGATTGAAACATAACCTAGTGGGTGTAGCACCGCTCAAAAAAAACTAGTGGGTGTAGCGCTGGCTACTGTTCACATGTCACGGTGTGACCTATGCTTAACTGCAGTTCTGAAGAAAAAAAACTATTCTTAACTGCAAGTACCAAGTCATAAGTTCCCTTTGGTACTGTGAACTGCCCTGTCTTTAAATAGGCAGGTCTGGTTCTGTACAGTTTGCAGATCCAAATATTGTTTGACTGGACAAACGTCTAGCAGCTATAAATGTGACAGGCCAATCCATCCGTTGTAAATATAATCATTGGCCTTGCCAATTCTACGAAAAATAAAAAATAAACCTATCTAAACAGGGTCATGCTAAGTACTCCCTCCGTTCCTAAATATAAGTCTTTGTAGAGATTCCACTAGATGGACTACATAGGAAGTAAAAGGAATGAATCTACATTTAAAATGCATCTATATAAATTCATATGTGGTTTATAGTGAAATCTCTACAAAGAATTGTATTTAGGAACGGCGGGAGTACTTGTTCTGCTTCCATTCCTCTCTGAGAGTATTTAAAAATTGAAACAAAAAGAACTAGTACTGTACTCCTATTTTTTAGAACAATTAAAAAAAGGAATCACATATCAAGAGTAGGCAATAATATCATCAAAATGTCGGAACGAGAACGGGAGGTAAGATGGGAGAAAAGGGGTACCTTCGCGAAGCAGGACCGCTAGGAGGAGCATCCGCCGCCGCTGGCGGCGGCTCCAGCTTGCCCCGGCCCGCCGAGCGCAGCGGGTACCGCAGCTTGGACCCCTTCGCCGCCGCAGACCCTGCAGGACCCAAAACCCTAGATCAGAACCCACAGACCACTCGCTCGACCTCCACCCAAAATCCCCTAGAAAATCGACGGAAAAAACAACAATATCTCCGCATACCGCAGCCGCCCGACTGATCGCCCGAGGAGGCCATGAACTCGAACGACGGACCCACCCAGGCGAGGAATCGAACGGACCTCTCCCAAGTCTCCAACGGAAATTGGAACCGGCGATGGGGAATGGAACCCTTCGGCGGAAGAATCGAGAGAGGGGAGGGTTTTGGTTCGGTTTTGGAATG